CCCTAAGAGGAAGAATTGGTTACACTGGTATTGTGATGCGAAGGGTGATTACACAACGCAGCTTGGCAGTTAGGAAATGTCAAATCAATGTTTCCTATTCAACATAAGGGAGTTGTGTACACTGCTGTGAACCGGCTACAGGCACACGAATCTCACTATTTTCCATATTGAATACCGTTTTAGAAAAAGCAGAAATGGCTGTGAATATGAGGTTGTCCTTTTAGGAACATAATATTCGCAAAAGGACTTTTTGCTTCTGCTTGGTCATTTCAGTATTTTGCAAAGCTTCCATTGCCTCCCACTAAATTATTTCAAAATAATTCATTTTCAGCTGAAGAAAACACTGTTGAAATCATCACAAAAAGCATTCAACACAAAATGGCCCGTTTTATCAGAATCAGAATTAGAATTTGAATCTTTTTTATTGCCATGTAAGTAACAGGAAGTCACAGACAAGGCAATTGCTTTGGCTCTCGGTGCAAACAAGTCAAAAGTGGAGAAGTCGAGAATAGAGCATGGCATTGTAAACATTAACACACATTTCTACAATATAAGAATTAAAGTTTCGGTTTGTCTGGCCATACACCATTTTAAATTTACAAAAAAAGGATTTCAAACAAGGGGGTAACACAATAAGGCGTTTCTTCATGAGGCATTCTGGCCTCCAGGATCAAAGACGTGACTGGACCAGTTCAGCTTCCTGACAATGCAAGGTCAATGATAGAGATAAAAGTGGGGAAGATTGTTTTCCCATTTTAGAAGCAAGATGCTGAGAGTATTAGCTGCAGTGATGCCCTAACGAGGTAAGATCTGAAGAACCACAACAGATGGAACGGCCACAGTCCTGTGAAGCCTGGACTTCTCACGGCTTTGTAGATCAACAGACTGCAGAAGCAAATATTTACCCACTGATCAAAACAAAGATCAAAAAAGTTTAAATGACAAGATTGTCTGGGCTCATCTAACATCTCAATATAATGATGATAATTGAGAACAACAAAGTGTATAGAGCCTGGAATTGTGTCACGCATTTGGATGCAGTGGCCATTGTTTTATTTGATACTGAATATAATACTGTATTGATATTGAGAGAGATACTTGTTTGATTAGCATAAATGTCAGTTAAAGAGAGCCATTGGGTCTGACATAATTTCTCACTTGAACATGGTCATATCTAAACTCAACTGGGTAAAATGGATATATGTTTCTCCTTGTGCTTGGAAATAACATTTGAGCTATACATTTCCAGTGCAGTTATCATAGAATGTTATTTAGTCCAGTTCCGGTAAGTCTTTCTCAAAGATTAAAATAATCTGTTTGCATTATGGTTATTTATGACGCCGCAAAAAAAAAAAAAAAAAAAACTTTCAAAGACAAGTTTGTTTCCATAAATCCATTGCACTATGCTTTTACAAAAAACAGACCAGGAATCACTATTATCTTTGCAGCGCTAGAACCAACCCCAAGATCCTCCAGGGTTATTTATTTTGCCATTATAAAAATCCACTTATTAGAAACCATAGTTTATGCAGAGAAAGTGACGTGACAGATGAGAAATACCGTAGCACCAGAGGGAGAATGGAGCATTTGTCTCTGCCCTATTTTTCACTTAAGCTTCGGCAGCATTTCCTACAATTATTCTTCCATTTATTTACCCCACTGTGCTGTCAGACGCCCTATCTGTGACGCCATTGTGCCTTTGAACTGCACTTTCAAGTCTGGAAGTCAAATACGCCAACCTGGGGACCTATTGTAGCTGCTTTCTTGGAAGTCTTTGCAATCTCATTCACGAGTCTGATGCTATACCGATGCTGCATTAGCATGCCAGAATTTCCTGTGAGAGGCACGGAGAGGCCAAATGATATGAAATGTGCAAATAAACACATGATAAACAAACAGGCAGGTGTTGGAAGATGTGGGAGATGCAGCTTATATTTGCATGAGAATAATAAGAATCGTATCCAACAAGCCAAGCAATGTAAACAAGGACATCTAAATGATCGATGATGTCTAAGTACTGTTCGAAGGCCTAATCTGTATTGATAAGCAAGAAACAACATTTGTGTAGGAGTTATCCCTTCATGGAAATAATGCACCTTTTTTGTTTTGATTACAAAGAAGATAATTGCACTCAAGACCTTCCAAAGTTAGCATAGATAAAGACGGGCCATGTTTCCTTTGTCATTGTAATTTAATATAAGTCCTTCTTTGTCATAGTCACACAAGAAACTCTAAGGCATGGTATAGTGTAGAGTCATTAGTCCAGGTAAGATTGATTCCATAACTTGATTAGTCTAGATTGACTGTCTCCGAAAGCCTGCAGGTCGATTTGGTTGTGTTCGATTTGATTTTTTCCAGTATTTTGGGAAGGGTGTTGAAATGGGAGATGTCCAATTTTTTTCCAATTTCATAATCTGATAGAGAGTCAAAAGCCTGTCAAGTTATTCTTATGCCTGTAAATCCTTTCAGCTGACTAATATCAAGTTTGTACTTATTTATATTGTCATCACTTTTAGACGCTTTAATGAGAAAATAATTAGATCACAGTTGATACATACCAACACAGACTCACGTGGATTGGGCCTAGGAATTACAGAGAAAAGAGCTTTAAATAAATATGATTACTGCAGACAATAGGCTATTTGGAGTGTTGTGATCATTGGGGGCGGGTCCCGGCTCAAAAATGTCCACAAGCACGTGCGCTGACATACTCGCAATACCACTCCGGGCCGGTGGGGGTGAAGAGAATTATCCAATGCTTTTGTATGGCGTCTTCTTTCCCCTCCAAAACAGCTTTACAGGATGGTCCAAAATTTGGCTCTTTGCCCACAGTTTCGTTCCAGGTGTGTGTCCATGCTGAGGGGGGCATATTTTTTTTGGACCTCTCTAGTTTAGCCACTGTGAATTTCAGAGGGCACTGAATGGGGCTGGTCCCGGCTAACGTATGTGCAAATGCGTATTTTCACATTTCTGTGAGGGAGGGGCTGCTCGCGGCCATTTTGAAAAAGTCTCATAGAAGCCAAAAGTGATGGCATATTAGTTTCAATGGCGGAGATAGGCGTGACTATGTCCATTAATTATTAAAGTCCATGGTTGTGATGGCAAAAGGAATGCAACCTATTGAAAAACAACTGAAAACTATCAAGAAACTATTTTATTTTTCATCATATTTTAAATTATAGACTCCCCTCATCCATTTCTTTCTAGATAAGAAACAGTACAACCTTTTTTGCTGTAACTATCATCCATTGGTTGGTTAGAGCCCCACTTGGACACACATTGCAGAGAGGAAAAGAGAAGCAGAAGGGGTGTGTATCAGCCTGGTCTCCCCCTGAGATGTTGTGAGAGATTGGATTGGATATGAGCTGGTTCTGGGCAGTGAGGAAAAGGAGAGGAGACTGCAGCTTCGAGCTCTCACCTGCGCTTGCATGTCCTCCACACACGCTCTGAAATAAATCACTACGACTACAGAGAGCAATGCCGTTAAAGAGATAAGGGGAGGTAGCAACAAATAAGTAACAACAGGCCCATCCTCTGATAGTCTGAATGGTGGGTTGAATTATGTGTGCGTGTGGCAGAGAGAGTGAGCAAGCAATGTTGGCTAACCACTCAAAATGTAAAATAATTTAGCTTGCAAGAAATTCAAAACGTGCATGGTTTGGCTGGTTTTGTTTCAGAAAAAAGAAAAAATCGCCTGGTAGCTAACTGAACATGCCCTCAGCAACAAACAGAGTTTGACACTGAAGTGTAGGACAAATATTTGCATGGACAGTATATACTGCACCTTACCAGGAAGTTATTCCAAATCAATTTACAGTATCTATAATTGGGTAATTTTTTTCAGCTATGAGTCCATATAACAAGGTTGAGTTATCAAGGAAGCATCTTAGTCCTTAAACGGTGTACTATTTAGCTTATCGCTGGTGGATTTGGCATACACTTGCATGGAGAGGTTTGTGATCCATCTGATTGCTTTAATGCTGCATAGAGTATGTTGGTTCTTCACTACAGCAGGGCTTTCTTTAGAGCAGGGGTCTCCAACCTTTTTCAATCGGAGAGCTACTTTTATATAAACAAACAGGCAGAGAACTACTCCTTTTTGCAGTCGTAATAAAAGTCAATCTAATAATTACGACCAAACTCAGAAAACACATGTAAAATAAACCATAATACTGTATAATCCTATTTTTATACTTATAATAGATGGGGGAGGGTTAGGGCTGAAAAAGTATTCGTTGAAGTGTATTTGGCGAGCTACCTGTAAGGGGCTGGAGAGCTACTGGTGGCTCCCGAGCAACAGGTTGGAGACCCCTGCTTTAGAGTGTACTTCTCATGCCCCATGTGTGTAGTCCAACATCAGATATACAACACAATATGTGCTGTATATCTGATACTGTATACCGCTAGTATAACATGACAGTTACCTCAGTTACCTACAATCAGAAGAAAACTTTTGTGGCTTGTGATTAGTTTGGGACTATTACAGTCTTCCTGTACCTTTATATTAAGTCCTATGTCTCTGTATATCCTAGTGCATGCATGGCTTTTTGACAGCTGCAGCATAAACTAACAGGTTTGATATCTCCGTGGCCGCACTTCAGTAGTCATAACTTCAAGTGAGTTTAAGCGGTTATAAAAGTGTATGAAGCATGTAATTTTACAGCCTTAAACATGTAGCTGCTACTTTTGCTATTATGCTTATTTCTGTTTTTTTTTTTAGAACGTAACCCCTTACAACAAACGAGGCACCACTATATTATAAAAACGTGTTAGTTTTTTCTTCAACCCAAACAAAATTAATTGATGCTAGACACGCTAATGGTTGCAGTAGTTGACTTGGCACGTGATTGGTGAGACAATTATATTAAAAATACAGAACAAAACTTCACGTCTGACACCAACAAATAAAGAGAAGATGCAATCCATACATGCATCCAAACATTTCTTTCCTAAACAGGTAATGCTTTATGTTATCCAAAGATGTTTGGACTTCATTTTCTTTAATCAAACAACTGCTCTGGAAGTTTGTGAACCAGCTTGCTGCGGACGCTGTGTCTGTCTGGCAAAGCCCAACAAACTGAGCAGCTTGTGGAAACACAGACGCTGCCAGAATCCCTCACTGGACAGCAGTACGACAACATGGTGTTGGGGAAAGAGGAAGACGCACAACATGGAGCGCTGACAACAATTTACATTTCAAGGAGAGTCATGGAGAGCTTATGGAAGGTGATAAGAGTTGTGTAGAATGATTATAATGGTGAGATTTTGTTATCTTGTTATGAAGTTTTAGACAGATAGAGGTAGAAGTATAAAAGTGACAGTAATAAGAACTAAGTGGTTTATAGCACCATGTTGGGCCTCTGTAAACTGTGTGTTTCTGTGTTTTTGTTTTTAAATCTGACTTGTATGTGTATTTTATGTATTTTAATGTGTGAAGCTCATTGTGACCCTGGTCTGTGAAATGCGCTATACAAAAAAACTTTACTTACTTACTTACTTATATTATGGAGTATATCTATTTTTCTATTTTTAGGGATAAATGCTGTTACTGGTTTTTTCTGCTCGCTTCCAAAGATGCAAACCGACTTAACGTGACTAGTGAACACATACTGGATTTACTTTTTAAAAAGTCCAATGCCGAATAACGCAAATGATTAAACTAAAAAACACACAACAGTAATAATGACACAACAGCATAGTGCTCATCTATCTGATCCAGTAACAGTTAAAAAGGAGAAGGGAGTTAGTCATTTTCTAGAAACATTGTTGTAAGGGGCACTAGCTTTCAGCCATTCATACAAACAGCAGAGAAAAGCCACTCAAATCACTCACAACTCAATGGGTCGACGCAAAATGGTGCTTTGCTCAATCGGTACTGACTCACACGAGGCAAATGAACATGAGTCTCTCCATGATGCCCTCTCTTCCTCACTTTTTCCCCTTTCTCTGACTTATCTTCAACCTGCTCCTGAAATCAACTTTGTAAATATAAGTAAAAAGATGAAAAGTAAATAGATGCGCATTACGCAATCTTGGAAAACCCTATTCCAAAACCAAAGTGTCACCACAGGTGAGCGAAAGACTGAAAGGACAAGATCACGGATACAAGCAATTGAAATGGGTTTCCTGGATGGCTGGGTGTTCTCTTACCAATAGGGTGAGAAGCTCAGTCACATGAAAGGAGCTCAGAGTAGAGCCACTGGTTCTCCATGTCAATAGGAACCAGTTGAGGTGGGTTTCCTTTGGGAAGTGTGTGTGGAGAATGAAAGCCAGGGTGTCTCTGGTCTACTGCTCCCGCAACCCAGCAACGAATAAAGCAGAAAAAAGTATGGATGGATAGAAAAAAGCAAACTGACCAGGAGCGAAGACAAAATGAGTTTAGTGCACTAAAGCTCAAAAACTTTAGCCATTCCTCATTATATTTATTATGCTTCAAAATACTACTAAGGTACTCCCACTAAAAGATCAGGATACAAAAAAAAACCTAACAATCATGACAATTTTATATACAAATGGAAGCCATGTTTTAGCCCATTTCCGGTGCAGGATTGCCTTCATACTTCAACAGTATGCACACATAATGCAGTATGCACACATAATAGTAAGTCAAACGAACAATAGAACGGGGGCTGACCTGTGCTTTGACTCTGGGCTAGGTAAAGTGCAGGGTGTTGAAGTGTTGTAGTGTCCCAGTGCCTTCTGCTCGCGTGCTTGTGCAAACACAGGGTTGACCTGCAGTGCACAGCAGCTTACCGGGGCATGGTGTGTTATTGTTGCTGCTGAGCCTGTGGCAGCTCATCAATTATAAAGAGACAGGGAAAGAAAGGAGAGGCCAAGCTGCAGCAATGACATCTATAAATACACCTGAATGACACAAGTGAGGTGAGCTGCTATTTCTGAGTCCTCCTCCATGTGGGAACACACACTTGAGCAATGTCACCCACAACATGGCACAAGTTAAAGGAATAGTTCACCGTTTTTACATACTGACATATGTTCTTACCTTACCTTAGACTAGTTAATATGTACCTGTCTGGTCTTAGTCCGTGCGCTCTGTCATGCAAACGGAGCAAAAACGGGAGCACAAACGCAGCCTCCTCTGTATATTGTGTAGGACCAAAAGGTAGCTCCCGCTAGAAGCTACCAAACTCTTCCAAGTGTTCCCTATTAAATGTATATAGTTACGTGACGTGTTACACTGCAAAGTATAGTAACACAGAAATGTAACTGTCAATTTTCTCAGCGGATAAAACGGGTACTATATTGTGAGGCGTAGTAATCTGAGGAGCGCTACGTCCGCGCACTAACTTCTCTCCGTACTACAAGTCATGCTGCTTCTATTGACGGAAGTGAGCGAGAGAGAAGTCTCCGGAGAGAAGTTAGTGCGCGGACGTAGCGCTCCTCAGATTACTACGCCTCACAATATAGTACCCGTTTTATCCGCTGAGAAAATCGACAGTTACATTTCTGTGTTACTATACTTTGCAGTGTAACACGTCACGTAACTATATACATTTAATAGGGAACACTTGGAAGAGTTTGGTAGCTTCTAGCGGGAGCTACCTTTTGGTCCTATACAGTATACAGAGGAGGCTGCGTTTGTGCTCCCGTTTTTGCTCCGTTTGCATGACAGAGCGCACGGACTAAGACCAGACAGGTACATATTAACTAGTCTAAGGTAAGGTAAGAACATATGTCAGTATGTAAAAACGGTGAACTATTCCTTTAAGAGCTGCGGCCGACTTTGACTCTGGTCTATTCTGGGTTTTGATCAGCACTCAAGCAAGCCATTTCAATACAAATTCTGGGTAGGATATCAAACTACTTGTGCAATGCTAGTTGGAGAACTTTCAGTGAGTAAACACTGCAGGGAGCTCTAAATAGTGGGTCAAATCTCTCAGACTTTTGAGACGAGAGGAGGTAAAAACAAAGATTTAAGTTTCTGGATGCAAGGCCAACATTCATCAATTAGGTTGTTTGTTGAAGTTGGGGTTCGAGCATTTTTATTTGAATCATACATTTTGCTTTCCCGACAAAAAGTATAGCATTTTGAGACCAAATCAGACCACAACATGCTATATTTTTTAAAAACATCTGATTTTCTTTTGCACACTTTTGCACACTATTTGATGCGTTGGCTGAGGGAGGAGTGGGGTACTCTTTTTCACTTACATTACAGGTATGTGGAAACTAGTGATACAACCACTATTTTGAGAGCAACAGACCTAGTGTTGTAGTTTCATGTGCTTTGATTTAAACTTTGAGCCAAAATAGGAGATCAGAAATCATTTATATGGGACATTTTACACAGTAATGGTTATGACCAAGTGGAAGACAATAACCATTTAACATTTAAGAATAATTATTTTTGTATATCAGAAACTACCAGACAGCTAATCCCACTCCCACACAAGACATAATAGAGTAAAACCACAATGCTAAGCCTATAGTATTTTGCTCACTCAGCTGTGGGGAAACACAATATTGAGACTTGAATAGAAGCCTATGCCTTGAGCCTACTATACATTCACCCGGCGCATTGGAGCTGACCGTGCTGCCATGGCAACCCAGCACTGAAGCTAATGTGAGGAAGACCGCAGTCACCGGAGTGGGAGCAGACGCAAAAAACCCACAACCAAGGAAACGCGTATGACTGTTGAGGAATACCCAAACAGTAGAGTAGCACTGAGTCTGCAATATTAAGCAGCCAAACACTGCGGCAGTTTAGGGTCGGTGCAGCTCTGCCATGAGGACAAAATGAAACCCAATGTGGTAGCAACATAGTGTACCTAAACAGTCATTAATATTATTACATTTTTTGGCTAAAATACAAAACTCATATAGCATTTGCCCTCAACAGCCAGTCCCAGTTCAGAGGTGCCAAGTCATTTTGCATTGGCTCTGAACGGTTGTCACACATACCATAACCACACTAAAACGCAGGAACATTCTTTGCTTATTATTTTTAAACCTTCTAGGACTGGCCTTCTTCACAAGACTTTTGATCTATGCAGCGTAAGTCAACACATGGCTCTGAAGTTACTATCTTTTTCACTAAAACGTAGCAGATCTTCACTCAAATTAAATAATATCAGCATATAGTCCTTAAGTTCTTATTTACAGTAAATGTGAAAGCAAATTGCAAATGCAAAGACATATTGCACACTGTAGATACATTCACATCCCAAAATGGCTTTCTATCCTCCAGCATATTTCATCATTAGCTCTAAGCAGTTAATCCTCTGCTCCACTGGCCACGGCTCGCCTCTACCCATTTCAATATTCTGCATCTGGGGCTAACCAACCTATCAGGCAAACATGCAGAGACATGCTCAGCCCACATGCAAATGCAGGAGTGCCAAGAAGCTACAACAACATATGGGACCAGTCCACTGCAATGGCAGTCTTCAGTAAAGAATTTCCTACTGTCTAAATAAATGCCCAGTTGACAAGTATATACAATACAAATTACAAAGTCACATGCTTTGATCCTGAGTATGGTATTCAACTAATCTATTGCAGGTGAAGCCTTCAGGTCAAGTTTCCACTCACGCAAAGAATGTCTGTTTATGTCAAGTGTTTCAATGGTGCACTGGGTTCCTGGATGAGTACTGGAACTGCTACTAATTGATTGGTACTAGTTTGGGTTGTTTGAGAGAAGACCAAATATGCCAGTTACATTTGTAGATGTTTATCTATAAACTTTCTAGGACTGGCCTAGAAAGTAACACTAAGATGACAGTTAGACACAGATATCCCCTCATTGCACAGAGTGTCAGTATCCTCAGCTACCTGACCCTCCACCGTCTTCTTGGCTTGACATGCTTTGACCATTTTGGAGCTTGTTTTGAGTTCAAGGTTAGCTGCTCATTGTATTGAGCGCCAAAGCTCCCCGATGGGACAGACAGAGGAGGGATGCATTAGCACCTCTGCGGGATGCCCTCAATCTCATCTCCTCCATCTTCTGAACCTTTCCACTACTTATTAATTCTCATGGCTTTTCTTAGCTTGTTTGTGCGCTGTAAGAATAAATCTGGTCGAAACTGGCTTTGATTGGATTCAATCTGCGAAGAAAATAAATGTTTCTTCAGCTGCAAAAAATGCTTTACTAAATGAGATCATTACATCAACAATTTAAATGATGCTGATTATTGTAATTGATACAGAATTGTATAACTAGGCGAATATAACATGTAAAAGAGCAGTACTAGAATCTTTACACATGTAATGTTGACTCATGGCTGTAGAATGAGTGATATATATTAATAGAAGAAGAAATAGTGTACGTCATCCTTCGTTTTGTGAAAAATGTGAAATCTGAAAATACAATAAAAAGGAGTTTGTAGTCAACTATGGGAAAAAACTAGTACAATTAGTCCAATACTGAGTAAATCACCAAATACAACTCTACTGAACACTGCATATGTTCAATGCTTAAGTGAAAGACTTCTCTCACTAATGTGCTGCAGCACCATATGACCATGAACCAAATCGCAGGCTGCAGGGGAGCTAGGTTTTCCCCTTGACCTGGCAGTGCGCACTGACCCAAACTAAGAGGGTTTAAACCGTACCCTTCCCATTGCTTTTCATCTCCATCTCCTCCTCACACCACAGACCAGCGCTCACACAAACTGACCGACCGACAGGCTGACAGAAGCCATATGCTCCATTCCCTTCCGATGGCAGCAGGTAGCCATCAAAGAAGCTCTCAGAGAAACTCCACTCAGCCGTGCCATGGGAGACGCAGAACGGACAGATGAAGGAGACGCATTACGAGCAGCGGAGAGGAGAGGTTTGGACAGGTTGAGTGGAGGCGAAGAGGAAGCGAGTGGAGAGGAACGGCGCGCCACGTGTGCATGGTGTTGAAAAGGGCACTGAGCGCTTCAAGAGGAGGACAGGTCAAATGCCATTCTGTGTATAAGTAAGTAAGTAAGTAAGTAAGCTTTATTTATATACCGCCTTTCACAGACCACAGTCTCAAAGCGGTTTACAATTGTTATTTTTTGGGCACTTGTCCTCTCACTCCACACAGAGATGGAGCGGGGTCGCCGAACAGGAGGCGCATGCCAGACCTATTGTACATATTTTTTGTTGTAGGGGAAACCGGAGTACCCGGAGGAAACCTACGCAGACACGGGGAGAACATGCAAACTCCACTCAGAAAGGCCCTGGTCCGGCCGGGATTCGAACCCAGGACTGAGAGGCGAGAGTGCTATCCACTCAGCCACCGTGCCGCCCAAAGGCCAAAGTATAAAGACCATTCAAGAATGCACAGCTTTTTCTGAGAGGTCCGCTGAGTAAATATTCAAAACCTATTCATCTCTAATGCAGAAGAACCAAATAATTGCTGAGGGGATTTTCAAAGGTCAGATGCCAGAAGTGTACATGTTTGAGTGGAGTGGGTCAAAAAACAAAACAATACAGAATTACTGTACAGCAATGCAAGAAGATAATGAGGCTGGGATTCTTTGAAGGATACCAGTGTGCAACAGTGTGGTAACGAGTTTGGGAAATTGTTTTGCTAATGATAACGTATGTATTATTGCAATTGGGTGCTTACGAGTACGAAAATCTGAAATTGTGTTGGATCTTGGGAAGTTCAGTATACATGCTTGACCGTTGAGGGAAAAATACACACTAATTGAATTCAACAATAGTGGTCAAATCTGGTTGATTTATTTTCACACATACATGATGCTAAACTTTCAGTCCTGTATGTAGGTACAGAAACA